CCTTTATTTAACTTAAAGTTTATCCTTTTTAGCTTGGCATGCAAAAAAAATCACCTTGCATTCTGGCCCTGGCCCAAGCATAACTCTTGTCCTGGTTTGCTTCCTCTCCTCTCCTCTCCTCTCCTCTCCTCTCCTCCCCCCCCCCCCCCCCCCCCCCCCCCCCCCCCCCCCCCCCCCCCCCCCCCCCCCCCCCCTCCCCCTCCCCCCCCTCCCCCCCCCTCCCCTCTCCTCCCCTCTCCTCTCTCTCTCTCTCTCTCTCTCTCTCTCTCTCTCTCTCTCTCTCTATCTCTATCTCTATCTCTATCTCTTTCTTTTTGAACAAGGTTTCTCAGTGAAACAGTCTTGGCTCTCCTGGAACTCACTCTGTAGACCAGGCTGTCTTCAAAGTCACAGAGATCTGCCTGCCTCTGCCTCTTGAGTGGTGGGCTTAAAGGTGTGCACTACCACCACCCAGCAAAGCTAAGTTAAAGACATTGACGTCATAGCACAAAGCATGGTGCTTGGTATATGAAAGGCAGTCCTTAAATATTTGCTGGATCTCAGTTTTGAGACTCTATGGATAAGGACTTTTTTTTTTAATACAAGCTAGAATAAGCTTCTTGATTTCTGTCATGTTTTTAGGTAGGGAGTAAAATGGAGAGGGTCTCTTTCTGATGAAGCAGTAATGAGGACTCCAGCATGAGAAGGGAGCACCATCAAAGAATAGCTGTGAAAATCAGATTGCAGCGCTGTTCCCAGCTCTTGGGCTGCAGAGGCTCTTGACAGACCGCAGTATGTCTGCCAGTTTCCTAGTCCTGGGGAGGTTGGTAGAGACTTCCCGTGTGTGACCATTGGACGGTGGATTGTCATCGCTAGAGAGAAGGTCGCATACCGCAAATGGCTGGATGGATTGTGTCTTAGTCATGTTCACTATGCTATGATGAAACTCCATGACCAAAGCAACTTGGGGCGGACAGGGTTTCTTTGGCTTACTCTTCGACATGACTGTTCATCATCAGAGGACGTCAGGAGAGGAACTTAAACAGGACAGAAACCTAGAGGCAGGAGCTGATGCAGGGGCTACAAAGGAGTGCTTCTCACTGTTCCTCTCCATGGCTTGCTCAGCTTGCTTTCTTACAGAACCCAGAATAACTAGCCCAGGGGTGGCCCCACCTACAATAGCCTTGACTCTCCCCCATCAACCACTAACTAAGAATATGCCCTACAGGCTTGCCTACAGCTCAGTCTTACATTGACATTTTCTTAATTGAGGCCCCCTCTTCTCTGATGACTCTAGCTTGTTTTAGTTGACAAACCAGTCAGTACAGAGTGCTTTGGGACCCATGTTCCCAAGTGTCTTAGGGACTGAAAAATGTTAGGAAACCACAGGAAATTATGCAGGCATTGAGTAAGCCAGATTTCTGGGCCCTTGTTGTGGTCTTGGACCTCACTGCTGATGCTCTTCCCAAATGGGCTGGTGGCTAAGTCACCATCTGCTCTTTGCGTTTGTCTTTCTACTGTAGAGGATGGGAATAGTCTTTAAGGTGCCAGTTCTCAACAAATGCCAAAGGAATTTGTTTGTAGAAGTTAGGATCTCTTAAATTCTATGTACTCCAGCTGGAATCTGCAGTCAGACGAGGAGGAGCTCCCAGTTCTCTGAAGAGCAGACTTGTTTGGCTACAAATCTCAGCCGGAGCTAGTTGCTTGTCTTGGTGATCTCGAAGCATGTGCCACACTGAGTCACTGTTAACCTGTGTCCTCTCTACTAGAGGGAAAATCGGAGTCTGAGGCTACTTAGGAGCAAGGTTCTTACCCAAAGCAAACTTTTAAGACCTGTGAGAAAGTGTTGAGCAACCCTGGTTGCCATGTCACCCAGGCCATCCTTCTTGAGCAGGTTAAAGCAGAGGAGATCGCTCTGGTAAGACCTTTCCAGCTCATAGGGTAAAGTCTCATTCTGCAGCCCAGGCTAGATTGGATCTCACTATTTTTTTGGCTTTTTTTGAGACAGGTTTAGCTCAGGCTGGCCTCCAACTTTGAGTCCTCCTTTGGTAGCCTCTACACTGGGATTTTGGGCATCCACCATCACTCCCAGTATTTTACTCTTTTCTTATTTGAGACAGGGTTTTTCTTTGTAGCCCTGGCTGTCCTGGAATTCACTATGTAGACCTGGCTGGCTTTGACCTTTCAGAGACTCGGCCGCCTCCCCCTCCTGAGTGCCTGGATTCAGGCGTGTGCCGCTCCACCACTCTCCACCACACCTGCTGCTCTCTCTACCTCTGGACAGCAGGGCAGACCTAGCTATTATCTTGAGTTCTTGGTGGTGAGGCTTCTGAAGACCGCCTGTCAGTGGCCAGGCTTTCTTTTTTTCCTAGGGAAGAGTTAGTGCTTGTCTATAGACTAGTGATTTTCAACTTTTGGATCAAGATCCCTTTAGGGGCCAAACAACTCTTTCACAGGGGTCACCTAAGACCATCGGAAAACACTGATATTTACGTTATGATTCATGACAGTAACAAAATTACAGTTATGACACCAGCAATGAAAATAATGTTATGGCTGGAGGTCACCACAGCAGGAGGAACTGTATTAAAGGGTCCCAGTGCTAGGAAGGTGCGAACCACTGTTCCGTCCAGGCAGGTGTTGGCTCTTTAAGCTTGGGGATGGTAGGCAGACCAATATGGGGATCTCAGTGAGCGGCAGTCGGGGACTCAGTTGGCTCTTGGTTTTTATGGTGGCATACTGTGTAGTAAGCAGAGTCTTGCAGTGCTGAGTAAACATGCTGCTGCTGAGCCACAACCTCAGTGCCCCCCCTTTTTTTGGAACATTAAGTAAGTACTCTGCTACTCAGCCGTATCCCCAGCCCCCCTTTATTTATTTATTTATTTATTTATTCATTCATTCATTCATTCATTTATTTATTTATTTTGAGGCAGAGTCTAAGTTGTCCAAGCTGGTTTTGAACTTGTTATCCTCCTGCTTCAGTGTTCTGGGCAGCTGGACTGCCTGCCAGACCCTGATGTAAGGGCAGTATGGAGATGGTGCTTCCCGTTTTGTTGAGGATCTTTCTGTTCTTTCCCTGATGTGTTGGAAACGAACTTCCTGTCCTGGTGCCCAGGGGACACATGTTGTCGGATTCCACTGTCGTGGCTGGCACTGACTTCCAAGTTTCTACGTTGGAATATATCACCTCCCCCGAAGGCTTTGGTGCTTCTTCCTGTCTTACTAGAGACTAGAGTCTGACAGGGTAAAAGAGCTTCTGTTCGAGGCTGGGGGGCCTTGCTTTGCTTTCACTGTACTTTCTGGGGTCCTCTGAGGGCTCCCTGGGAAACCATCTGTCTGGCCTTATAGAAACTGTGAAGTGGCAATGTACCACCTTTCCCTGAATGGCCCAACTCTGGGCTAGGTCGTACACTGCTCCATTGTACTGTGTGCTCTGATACAGCTCTTGTCACACACAGCCTTTGACACCCCCTCCCCCAGCTAGTCTCTTACAGTTCTTTCAGAGCTCGTGGGAGGTGCTGGAATACACTGTTGGCATAGGCCTGGATGGGTGGTGACTGCAGCTGTGGGAGGGTTTGTTCTTATGAGCCCTGGTGCAGCCTGGCAGCAGTGTTTGGGAACTAGGGAGACAGCTGCCTTCCATAATAACTGCCTACTCTTGACCAACCAGAGAGCCTTGTTGTGTGGGTCAGTAAGCTGGACTTACTGTTGGCAAAGTTGGAGGTGCTTTCCTGGACAGAAGAGCAGAGTGTACACCTGAGGGATCCTGCAGCTTGTTCTTCTGTGCTCTTTCTTTGCAGCTCCAGAGTTGGGCTGCTCACACATACAGCCATCTGTTTATATGGAGTGCCTGGAGGGCGTCTACCAGGAGTCTGTTGCTAACACCACTAACCAAGAGAACTGGCTGGCTGGGGAGAAGACACTAACCCTGTGAGTCTGACCTTGACTAGCTAACCTGCCCTGGGATGCCACCAGCAGTGTGCATTCTCCTGCATTCTCTGCCTGGCTGGCTGCCTCTTTCCCTCAGTCTTGCTCCCTCTGCTTTCTGAGTTCCTTCCTTTCCTCTTTTCCATGATGTGGGCAGGATACACCTTCTTTGTCTTAGGTACTTTTCTGTTGCTCTATGAAAACACATGGCCAGGGCAGCCTAGAAAAGAAGGCATTTATTTGGCTCACAGTTTCTGAGGGTTAGCGTCCACGATGACAGGTGCAAGACAGCTGAGTGCTCCTGTCTTGATCCACAACCTTGAGACGGAGGGAGAGAGAGAAACAGACAGACACAGAGACAGACACTAGGAATGGTGGGAGTCATTTGAACCACAAGCCAATCCTTCACAGACGGTTCACCAGCTGGGGACTATGTATTTAAATGTATGAATCTGAGAGGCTGGTCTCTCTTGAACCATCACATCCTTCATGGCCAGAAGAGAGGCAGCCTGCTACAGGACTCCTCTGCCTCTCGCCCTCTTCCGCGCTGGACACCTCAGTCTCTCACGAAACAAATTGGTTGGTGTTTCTATTCTTTTCTGTCCTTTTAGCAACAAGAAATTGAAGACTTCTTCAGTTACTGTGCTGTTCCTACTTTTCTACTTCAGAGACGGGTAGAGGCAGGGTAGGCATAGATATACCTTCCGGACCCTTTGAGTTTCCCTCCCTTTGTCCAGAGGCTGCAAGTGGGGGCTGGAGAGATAGCTCAGTAGTTAAGAGCGCTGACTGCCCTTCCAGAGGTTGCAAGCTACCACGTGGTTGCTGGGAATTGAACTTGGGACCTTTGGAAGAGCTGGCAGTGCTCTTAACCACTGAGCCATCTCTCCAGCCTATTCTTCCAGAGGACCCCACGTTCAGTTTCCAGCACCAAATGGCAACTTACAATTATTTGTAACTCTAGGACCCAACACCTTCACACAGACATACATAGAGGTAAAACACCAATGCACAGAAAATAAAAATAAATTTAAGAAAAAGAAGGTGAAAGTGGATGGTTCCACCATTATTCTCACTCAGAATAAGAAGTTAGGTTATCTTCTTCATTTTTGGCTTTTGATTTTGTTGAGACAGGATTTCTCTGTGTAGCTCTGGCTATCCTGGAACTCACTCTGTTGACCAGGCTGTCCTCAAACTCACAGGGATCTGCTTGCCTCTGCCTCCTGAGTGCTAGGATTAATAGTGTGCACCACCACTGCCTGACTAGATTCTCTTCTTGGTTGGGAGGTTGAGGTTTTCCTTGGCTTGGCCCTGGAGACTTCTTGGTAAGAGAGCGGAGCAAACTAAGTGCCAGGTTCAGGAATCTGTGCAATGATGTAGTTCCCACTGGTCACTGTTGCTCTGGGAAGTGGAGTTTGGTCTCTTACCTGTTTCCACTCAGAGTGTCAGGTGGACTTTAGCCGAGAACTGGGAGGGTGCCTCAGCGAGATGGGGCAGGTCCTGGCCTTCGCCGGGAGATTGTCTGGCATGGAGACGCTGCTACCCTAGGCCTTTCCTCGGTACTTGGAACAGAGACGGAACATCTGACAATCCCAAGAAGATCCGTTACCTTATTCTACCTGGTGGTCCAGCAAGGAGCTCCTTACATAAACTGTGTCTCCAGGTGAGGCTGGCCTGGAGCCTTGGGCTCCAGGCAGTTTCTGTTCTTGTTGACTGAAGGGAGAAGGCAGGGACCTGACTACAGTGTGGGAAGGGCATGTGTGAGTATGAGGGCCATGGGTGTTTCCAGGCTCCCTAAGAAATTTAGTAGGGAGTTAGCAAGCTGAAGGGGGTTTGGGCTTGGCTCTGACTAGAAAAGCCAAAAGGAAGGCTGGCCAGGGCTGCGCCTTTCTTTTTTACTTCCTTAGGAGAGCACATAGTCTAATGTCAAATACAGGCCACGGACTTGGGCACTTTGGCACTGCTTTTGTTGGGAAGGTTTGGTTTGCTTGGATTGCCATCAGTAGTCTTTTCTCCTTTGTTCCCGTCAAGTGTTTGCTGGGTGAGAGTCCGAGTGGATAGACAAGGTGTTTGTTCAGGTGGGAACCCGGTGAGTTCTCACAGGTCACCAGCACTGGTTCTGAGGCTTCATGATTCCTGTGGTTAGAAAGATTCTCTCCCTGTTAGGCCCTGAGAGCCCTGCCAGGGTATTCAGCTTAGTGTAGGCAAGGGGCCAGGTGCAAGCTGCAGGCGGCTTATCCCAAGAGGGTGAGGTTGTGCTTGTCCAGAGGCGTGTGCTGGAGGGGCAGCAGGACTGGTCTGGGCATAGACTGGCATCTTCTACCCTAGTCATCAGCCCAGAGCAGCATCTTTGCCCAGGCCCCACCCTGTGAGCTGCTGGCTGCCTGCCTGCCACGCGCCCAGGATTGCTGAGGGCTTTGCTCATGTACCTCAGAAACAGCTGCGTGCCGGAAACTGGGGACGGAGGCAAACGAAAGGGGCTGGGGGTACAGTGGGAAAGGCTAAGTCCAGCTTTATTAGGGTCAGCATTGTACTAAGGCAGAGGGTAGGGCTGCAGTGGAGAGGTGGCGATTCTAATGAGCTCTTCTCATGGCTACATTGCTGAGTCATAGGGTTGACCCTTTCGACATGCAGTTTTGTGTTTGGGGGCTTTCGATGGAGGTAGAGCCTGGATTTCTGAGGCTCAGAACCATCTAGGTTTGTATGGCAAGCATGTTGCCTACTCCTGTGATGTGCAACTTTCCCAGGTGGCAGAGGTCAGAAACTCCATATCCAAGGCATGCGACTCAGGAAAGCTAAGGCAATACCTTGTTTCCTGTGTGACCAGGGTGCTGTGATTTGGACTGATGGGGACTTCCAGAAGGGCTGGTGTTTGTTTTATTACCTATTTATATTCTGCTAGGTTCCTGGAAAATTAAGGCTCTATACGTAGCTCAGCTATCTTCTGAGTAGGGCTGAATTTTCCTTTAGTTTAGAAAGCAGTAGTGGTTACTAACTTCTCTTGAAGTATTACGAATAAAAACTTTAAAGATTCTTATAGTGTGGGCCCCACCCTGATTTAAAAGGTCAGGTTCATTGACCCGTCAAGGTCCCTCAGTAACGTGGTTCTTTTGTAGCTGTGAGCATACTTAGCAGTAAGTTTCACAGTAATCTGAGACCAGATAAATGGCGTCCTTTCCTAAAGGAGGTGCTGGGGGGTAATAGGGAGATGGCCTAATTGGGTCGGATGCTGATCAGGGTCAGTGAACTTGTTCATACTGATAGTACAGAATCTGAGGAGCTGAAGGGACTTTTTATGGCAGAAGGCTGACAAGAAAAAACAAAGAGCAACATCCATTTGGGGCTCAGTCCTGTACCCTCATCTGTACCAGTGATGGTATGGGGATGGTAACTTTTGAGTCCTTTATAGGCAGAAAGCTGAATGCAGACCTCAGTAGAATGGCAGGAGGGAATAGGAGGGCATTCCAGACTCTTGGGCTTCTGTTTGCTATGGTCCCTTGAAACATTTGCTGAAAGAGAACAAGAAGAGTAGTTTGGGTGAGTTGGATCTGAAGAGGTTTCTCTTAGGCCATCTACCTCCAGGAGCAGCCATCTCCAGCATCAGTGGACAATGGCCATACCCCCACAAAGGGGGACAGATATGAGTCCCATCTCCAGGCTAGAGTGCTGTCATGTTCTTATCTGTCTTCCCTCTGCTCAGCTGCTCGATGGTTTGCAATGCAGGTCCTCTGTACGTGCCTGCCGAGTCCCATTTCTAATGAAAGTAGACTTTGTTCTCTGAAGGCAGCTAATCGTGCCCCATGGGCTGTAATCAGGGAGAAGGTATTTAATATAGGGCAGGTGGCAACAGGCGGCCGCATTGACTGGCAGATTGCAACATGGCAATTAGCGAGCTATCACCCTCCTCCCCAGCAGATATGAGGTAGTCTTTCCTCTGGACCGACTTTGGGTAGTGAAAAATGAATGCTATGTAAGAGGAAAGAGACAGTAAGGTTAGCTAGGGTGAGGTGGGGGTGGTGAAGAGAGCCCCTTCTGCTGCAGGGTTTTGGGCGTCTCCCACTGCGGGTCAGCAGGTTCATCCCAAAGAGGCACAGCCCATGCTGGGTCAGCCAGGGGTTCCACCTGGGCCTAGCCCTTTTAATACATGCTGGTAGCCCCCATCCTGAGTCATCCGACCTTGCCTCCTAAGGCCCGGGTAGTTGGAATGCAGTTCTTCCCTACTCATTGCCAGGTTTTTCTCCAAAAGAGTCAGCCTGGCAGCCAGAAGCCACGAGGCCCCACAGGCCAACCTTGGCTGTGGCTTGCTCATGGTGGCCCAGGGGACCTTCTCTTCTTAACACAAGTCTGGAAAACCTTGAGGTAAAGGAGTTGTGGTCAGTGGAGGCTGTAGCTGCTGTTTGAGACTTCCTGGTGAAACTGCTTTGATGTCTTCTAACTTACCTTTTTGTCTTCTCCAATTTGGGGGTCCCCAAACCCAGCTGTTCTTCATGCTTCCCTCCTTTTTGTCTTCTCCAATTTGGGGGTCCCCAAACCCAGCTGTTCTTCATGCTTCCCTGGCCTGTTCTCTAGTCCAGGACAGTGGGCTGCCAGGCTTGTTTTCTGTCCAGTGCTGCCCCTTACAGGTTGGATCCAGGGCACTTAGTAGATTGGAAAATTGAAACAAAGGCCCAGGTGTCCCAACATGCCCAAGTATTTATGGACAGAGGGCAGGGAGTGGCACAGATCTGCCTTGGGGAGTAGGGTTGGGGAACCCAGAAGGTTCTCTGGTACATTGTCCCTGCTTCCTAGTAGGAGTGTTTCCCTCCTTGTGATACAGACCTGTTGAAGGGGTCTGATAGAGAAGTAACCTTTGACCCCTACCTCCATCCTTAGAGTCCCTATCAGCATTTACTATCTCTGTCCTTGTCACACCCAGATCATCCCTTAACTCAGCAAACCAGATTGCCTCTAACCTCAGAGGAGGCAGCACTGTCAGGGCAAGGCAGGGCAAGCTATAGGATGTGGTGTCTCAGTGAAGGAGCTCTGCCCACAGATAGAATTACCAAGTGCCTGAATGTGCCCTGCCTACCCACCGTTCTCATCAGTGCCCTGGTGCCTGGAAGAGAATGTGAGCCTTGGCAGGAAAGTAAAGAAGATGCTCAGGTTGGAGGAAAAGCACACAAAGAGCCTGCAGAGTGAAGGGTTCCTTAACCCCGGGCTGTGGGGGGTGGACAAGAAGGCCACAGAGAGCTGGCTTGTGGAAGAGAAGGGAGAAGGCGGCGCTAGCTCCTGGGAACTCTCCCATCATTATCTAGAAGCTCCTGTCTCTTCTTTAGTTCATGGCTCTGCTCCTGCCTTGTTTTCCAGGCGTGCACACCCACTCACACATACCTTTGAGTGTTAGGGCCTGGGTACCTGATTGGTTTAGGACCTTTCAGGGCCCTCTGGAGGACAGCCACAGAGGACTTGTGGTTTCTCTTGTTTGTTTCCCCTTACCCCAGGAATGTGGTGTCCTTTCTGGCCCTCCCAGATTCCTGTGTGGGGAGTCAGCCTGACAGCGCGCTGCTTGTACCCTGTGGGGACACGTTCTGCCTCCTGTCAAAGGGGCGGAGGCTGGTGGCTCGTGCTTCTGCTACTACACCAAGCTTTCCTCCAAACCCAGGCCAGGGACCTTCTAGAAGAGGGAGACTGACTACTCCTGCTTCCCCACCCTCCTTTGCCCCCACCCTGATGCCCCAGGCCCTGCTGGAATGTGACAGGAGTCATGGCCAGGGCATGTCCCAACAGTAGGAACACGCTTTAGCCCGTAAGGCCTCCTTCAGCCCCCAGCTCTGGGTTGATGGGGGTGGGAAGAGATTGTTTTCTTATGCTCAGAAAGCCACCTAGGGTTACTATTTCCTCTGATCAGTGTGGTGCCTGCTGCCCCCATGCTGCCACCCAGTTTATTACAGGTGCTTCTCAGAATCCCAAGAGGCAGAGGCAGAGAGTGTAGAACAGGCTTTTGCAGTTGGGAAGTATGTTACCCAGGCACTTCAGTGTGCTGGAGCAGCCCTGGGCCTGGAAACAGGTCTCGCTCCCCACACTTGTGTTTACATTTTTCTTTCTTTCTTTTCTTCCTTCCTTCCTTCCTTCTTTCTTTCTTTTTTCTTTTTCTTTCTTTCTTTTTTTTTTTTTNTTTTTTTTTTCTTTTTTTCTTTTTTTTTTTTTTTTTTTTTTTTTATGAGACAGGTTTCTCTGTAGCTTTGGAGCCTGTCTGACACGAACTAGCTCTTATAGACCAGGCTGGCCTTGAACTCAGAGATCTGAGTGCTGGGATTAAAGGCGTGCACCATCATGGCCCAGCTGGGTTTATATTTTTCTATTACTTTTATTTTGAGTGTATGTGCATGGGCACATGATGCTGTAGTGCACATGTGGAGGTCATTTTTCTCCTTCGTGTGAGTCCCAGAAGTCAAGCTTGGCTCATCAACCTTGGCAGCAAGCACCTTACTACTGAGCCATCCTGCCAGCCCCACAGTGTTTCCTATACAAGCATACCAGCAGTTTCCGGCCTCAGCTCTGTTGACCTTTTACCTTGCTAGCTCTTTGTTACGGGCTCTTGTGCATGGTAGGATGATTCATCAGTGGATGTCCTGGCCTTGACTTACAGTGGACCTCTTCCTCTGCAGATTTTGAAAACTAAAAATGTCTCTACGACATTTGCCAGTTGTTCCTAAGAGAAGTAGGGACAAACTCATCCTGATTGAGTACCATTGCTCCCAATTGCTGCGTTTTGGGTGTTCTTTCTTGGACCTATCTTTGCTCATTGCTAAGCTTATTGACCACCATTGTACACAGAAATGGTCTCTGGGCTTCTTGTGGAACTGTTGCTAGGGGCAGTCTCCAGCACCATCGTCTTCTTGCTCCTCTTGGGTTCTTGGTAATCTCATTTACAATCTGTGTTCCCGAATTTCCTAGCTGTTTATAGACTCTGAGAAGCCTGGGAAATGAGCAGGACAAATAGGAGGTAGGAATAAGAATAGTGCAGGATGCCGGCAGTCAGAGGGAATCTCTGAGTTCAAGGCCAGCCTGGTCTATGGAGAGAGTCCACGACAGCCAGGGGTGTTGCACAGATAAACCTGTTTCAAAAAACCAGACAGACAAACAAACAAACAGACAGGCAAAAAAGAATAGTAGCAGAACTATTCCAGAATGGAGCATATGGTAAGTTGAGACAGTGAACGCATGCGTGTAGACCACAGGTGTTGTCTGGACAAAGGCAGGTACTTGTTATTTCAGTTATTTCTTTCTTGAGTTGGCTTCACTATGTAAGCCATGCCACTATCAGGCTACCACCTCTGCCTCTGCTGTGTTCCCCATGCTTGCTGCTTTCTTAGAGCCTTCCAGGTCGCACACTGGGCAGGCAGGCGACTGACACCTGGTGTCCACTTTCTTCCCTTCTCTGGTTTCAGGAGCTCTTGGCTAGAGGAAGTGGAGGGGCTGTGGGATGTGGAGAGCCGAAAGCTAACTCCAGGACAGCAGAACAGAGAGAGCTGCCAACGAACAGACGGTATGTGCTGATGAGGCCTGGATCCCCTACTTGTTCTCTTCTGGGAGTCTGGCAGGTGAGGTGGATAGGTGCTCTCTGTTAGTAGGCGCTAGTAAGAAAAAGAATGTGTCAGCACTGTTGACAGTGTCCAGAGTGCTCTCAGCGTGGAGACACTCATCTCAGAGCCTGAGCTGGGTCAGTATCCCCAGACTTTGGAAGACAAACCTGTATTTAACATTCCCTAAGTACTGGGCACTGTTTTTGTTTAAATAGTTTCCCTGTGGAGCCCAGGCGGGCATTAAATTTAGGGTCCTTTTGTCATTGCCTTCCCCAGTACATAAAATTACAAATGTATCGCTAGCTATGTCTCTATTGAAGCAGGGTTCCAGTGTGTAGGTCTGACTGGCCTGAAACCCACCATATAGAGACCAGGCCTCATGCTCACAGAGGTCCACCTGTCCTGCCTTCTCAGTGCTTTCATAGAAAGCGTGGGCCACTATACAGCAGCCCTATCTGGCACTGTTCTTTCTGATTTTTTTTTGTGGATGTCCTGGAACTTACTCTGTAGACCAGGCTAGCCTTGAGCTCACAGAGATCATCTGCCTCTACCTCCCAATTTCTGGAATTAAAGGCCTGTGCCACCACTGCCCGGCTCAGATACTGTTGGGTTTTTGTTGTTGTTGTTTGTTTTGTTTTGTTTTTTGAGACCGGTTTCTATGTAGCTTTGGAGCTTGTAAACCAGGCTGGCCCCGAACTCACAGAGATCCGTCAGGCACTGTTCTTACAGACTGCTACAGTCTTCACAGTAGCCCTGTGAAACTGGTGCTGCTTTTAGCCTCAGTTTAGAGATAAAGAGAATTGATGCTTTTGAAGCTCTCTGTGGCCACACAAGTATGAACTGTTCCTGAGGTTCTCACCCCACTTGAAGAGCAAGGCCTGCTCACCCTAGGGTCTGCCTTTCCCTCCTGTCTGTTCTCCATTGGTGTCTTGCCCTCATCTCCAGCATTCCTCTGATCGATCCAAAGTCCAGTTCTTCTAATGACGCAGCTGTGGCGCAGGCCCTCCTGCCTGTGTGGTGCTGTCTGCAAACATCCTCTGATTCCACGGCTGCTTACAGTCTGCTTTCCATTCATTTATTTAGTGTCAGCATGGTGTGCGTGTGCCACAGTAGCAGCTGCAGAGGCCAGGGCTAGCTTGTGGGGTGGGCTCTCTTCTTCCATCATGTGGGTTCTGAGCACAGAAGTCAGGTCGTCAGGAGCAGTGAGTGCCTTTACCCACTGAGCCATCTTGGGGGCCCTTAAAAGCCTCTTACCCACATCTTTGAGCCCGTGTCTTCCTGGCTTCTCTTGGTAGGTAGACAAGCCTGCACTTTCCAGAATGACCAGTGCTGCCCCTGCTAAGAAACCTTACCGGAAGGCACCTCCAGAGCACCGAGAGCTGCGCCTGGAAATCCCTGTGTCCCAGGTCGAGCAAGAGGTCAGCAAGACTGGTATCTGGCCCTGGCTGGCAGAAGTCAACTGTCAGCTGGCTTCTCAGGCCTGAGATGCTAGTCGTGAGTTAAGGCGAGCGATTCGCATTGCTGGCACGGCTGTGGCACTGCCGGTGGGGTTATCTGTATGTGTTCGTGCCCCAGGGAACCTTAGCAAAATTGGTCCCACATACTGCAGTTCCTGGAACAGCCAGCCCATGTCCATGCCCTGGCCGTGGGAAGCTGAACCCAGGCCTCTGTAGTGGAGGAAAGTCGTTCAGCCTTGGCTCCATAGGGAGCCTAAGGAGGAGGTGGTGCTCAAGCTTCTTCCTACTAACTGTTCTCCATTGTCACTCGGAAGTCCAGCCCTTCCCACAGCTATCTTCATAACTTGGTATTTTCTGCCAGGAACCATGTTAGGTTTGCCCAGAGGAGGCCTGTGGTCAGCTGCCAGACCCTCCAGTTTGGCTCTCTTCCCCTCATTCTACTGAGCATGGGTGGTTTACTCAGCTTCTTGTTAGACTTCCTCCCACCCCACAGTGCACAGAGTACAGTCTCAGATGCTGAGCATCAGCTGTGTCATGGCTTCCTGTGGACTGTCTGGGGAGAAAATGCTATGATTTGCTCATTGTAGTTCAGGGAGCATGGGGTAAAACTTGCAATTTTTATGCATTTTGCTTGGTGTTCTGCGTATATAAATGAGGGAACTACGATAGAGTGAGGTGCCGCCCACCAGTGTGTTGCTGAGTAGGTCAGACCCCGTTGTCAGGCTAGAGTCCGTTTGCCTCTCTGACTTACTCATGGCCTGCAGTGCTAAAGTGTCCCTTCTGCATAGCTTGGGCCTGCTCTGGCACTTGGGTCATGACCGTTGTGGGAGCTTGGGAAAGTATGTGCAGGTGTTTCAAAGCAAGACACAACATGGTTTGGTGGTAGAGGCTTACACTGGAAGATGGTGGCAGTAAGATCAGGAGTTGATAGTGAGTTAGAGTTCAACCTAGGCTCTGTGAGAACCTCCAAACTCCACAGCCAACAGCCCCATAGCATTTAGCTCCCCAGAGGCTCTTCAGACATTCAGTGTTTCCACCCCAGCCTCCAAGGTCCTTATTCTGTCCATCTCCGTCTATAGGGGATGCCATGTTTGGGAGGAGTGTGGTGGATACCTGAGAGGTGCTTTCCGGGAGAGATGGCATGGCTACCTCTTCCTCTTTGAAGATGGTTTTAGGACTAAGGGTAGATGTTGGAAGAGGTTCTCGAATTTTCTGATCGGCACGGGAGAGGGCACTGTAAACTCATCCAGACATTACTGGGTTTCAGCCATCGCTCAAGGGCCCTCGCTCTCTTCTGTGACACAGCCCTTTTCAGGCCTGTCTGAAGTGCGAGGCAGCCAGGAGCCCAGTAGCTGCAGCTGAGTCTCACTCAGGCTTGTCCTCTTTTTGTCCAGGAGGCCCTGACTGACGCAGAGAGGATGAAGTGAGTACTGACTGCCTGTCACTGTGCTGTGCACTGTGCCCCTTTTCACTTCCTGTGTAGACTACTGGTACTCCCACGCTTCTCCTCACATCTGCTCTTCTGACATTCCAACTTCTGACTTTGTGGCACAGCGTTGTGACCTGCAGTTATTCATGTTGAAGAACTATAAATTTGAATTGCAAAACAAACAGAAATTGCAGAAAAAATGTTTTATGTAAGTTTGTTATTTTTGTGTTGGGTTGTATCTATAGGCTCCTTGGCCACATGTGGCCCATGGACTACTCATGCTTAGCAGAGGTAAAGATGGGATGGGGTGTTTTAGGTGTTCTCCCTGGGAAAAGGGTTTTCCTTGATCTGTGGGCTGAGGACCTGCCCTTGCCCAGCTCCTGGCTCTAGAGAGTGACCCACCTGGCCAGCTGCCTCTTAAGGCCCTTCCTGTCAGCATTTGAGGCCCCCTGGAGAATGACTGTGTTGGCCTGAATTCCCAAGAGATTAATAATGGAAAAGCCTGATTGTGAAGTGTGGGAACTGGAGCTGCAAGACTTGGTGGCCTGCTGGCCTGGGTGGTAACTGGAGGCAGGTTGGGAGCTGTGACCTTTTGTTCTGACCTAGTATTCTTCTGTATTGGGTGGGGCACTCTGCTTCCACCCTATCCCATCTTCAACCTAGGCCTTGAAGCCAGAGGGCTGTATCTAAAGAGTCTCCATAGTTAGACTGAAGCTAAAGGGACCCAACCCACCTGCCTGTCCTCTCCTTTCCCAGTCCTGTCTGGTGCTCTAGGGTTAGCTGTCTCTGATGGCTCCCTGTCCGTCCCCCACCCCAGACTTTTGCAGCAGGAAAATGAAGAGCTTCGTCGGCGCTTGGCCTCGGCCACCAGACGCACCGAGGCCTTGGAGCGGGAGCTGGAAATAGGGCAAGACTGCCTGGAACTGGAGTTAGGCCAGAGCCGCGAGGAACTGGACAAGTTTAAAGACAAATTCCGCAGGTGTGGGAATAAGGGGCCAGATATCTTCCCCATTCATGGGAGGTCAGCTGGATGAGCCTCAGATCCCACCTGATTTTATTTAGAAACCCAGGGACTGTCCCAGATCCCCATGTGGAGGAGGGTTTGTAGGGCCGGAAGAACAGGATCTTGACCAAGGCTTTCTGCCTTGTATCCTTCTGTAGGTTGCAGAACAGCTACACAGCTTCCCAGCGGACTAACCAGGAGCTGGAGGACAAGCTGCATACGCTGGTACTGTGCTGGAATGGGCAGTTTGACTGGCACTGTGCTACAGCATAGCAGTGGGCCAGGACTTGCCAGAGGGGTGCCATTTACCACGGCGCTTGGGGAGGGTAGGGCAGGGCAGTGTTGGGGAGGGGACGCAGTGTGCTGTGCCAGTCGGGACTGTCTTAATGCTCACACTGTTTCTCTTCTCTCTTCGTCTCCCCTCACGCTGCCACCGCTGCTGCTGCATTCTCCTCTCAGGCCTCTCTTAGCCACAGCTGGATTTTTGCAGTTGCGTCTGAGTTTGTGTGTTCTTCCCCCTGTCCTGGCCTCCTTGGTCCATATCAGGGATTGTGGGGCCCTGGCTGTTTCCCTCTGCCCCTCCATTCTTCTCCATCACTGTGAGGCCCAGTAGTATTCAGTGCTAACTGGGAAAGAGCTAAGGCTGGGGTTCTGCTCATTGCTCTGGCAGAGGTACTGGCTGATAGCAACCCTCAGAGCTTTCCCAGCTTCCAGCTGCAGTGACAGCAAGCCCGGGCCGTAGGGACACGCTAGGGGAACTGAAGATGAGAAATCTACTTGAGCCTGTAGTTCCCTCTGCCCAGCCAGCTAATCTCATAGGCGCCCCACTCCTAGCTTATCCTGGAAACAGCTGCTCACACAGGCTTTAGTCCCTGGCTGAAGTTACCGTCTCTGAGACGCCAGTGCCTTCCTTGCCTGGTGCCTAGTGTCCCTTAAGCTCCCTCAAAGGATGGGTAGTTTCTTAGACTGCCTCTGTCCTGGATTACGGTGGCATCAGGTCCTTCTCAGAATTCCCTCTCCTGAGCAGCCTGCAGAGCAGGAGAAAGGCCAAGTCTCCTCCTGTCTGTCACCGTCTGTCTGCTCTGTCTGCCTTGGCTGCCCTAGCACCTGTGGCCTTGTGTCTGGACTGGAGGTGGTAGAGGGGGCGGGCGGGCTGGCTGGGGTCTGGGCTGCCTTTACCACAAGTCTGTGCTTCAGATCAAGAAGGCTGAGATGGATAGAAAGACGCTGGACTGGGAGATTGTGGAGCTTACTAACAAGCTACTGGATGCCAAGAATACCATCAATAAGCTGGAAGAGCTCAATGTATGTACCCATCAGCGTGACTGCGTCCTATCCCCTTGGGTGGCTTGGGCTCTAAGCAAGTCTGTGTCTGCAGGAGCGATACCGGCTGGACTGCAACTTGGCTGTGCAGCTTCTCAAGTGCAACAAATCCCACTTCCGGAACCACAAGTTTGCTGATGTGAGTGACACACCTGCCGGCACCAGTCCTGCCTTTAGGACTCTGATTCCCCTTCCACTTTCCTTCCTTTTGCCCCGGGTTGCACTTCAAGGTGTTTAACCCTGTCTTGCTCCTGGGCACCGCTGAGGCCCGTTACTAGTGTTGGAGCTGCTGTTAGTATTTCTGTAAGGTGCGCTTTGAGTCTGAGGAGCCTGTGTAGGAAGAAGGGGTGGCCAGAGCTAAAGCCCATCTGATCCCACCCTCTCAGGGGCAGAGCCTCTGCCTCCCAGCCTCCAGCCCAAGGCCTCACTGGCCTGCAGAACTGGAGGTGTTGGCAGGTCTTAGCAGTAGAGCTCATTGACTTCATGTTAAATACCATACCAACTGTTTTCCTCTGTGAAGTGGGGTGTAGAAGTTTAAAAGCTGAGTGCACAGGGTTAACCAGGATATGGTGACTGTTGTTGACCCTGACACGCTGGGCTGTTTTTGCCATGGGTCAGGCTCTCTGCAGCGGGGCTCATTCCTGTCTCTCCCCCTCCTCTTATTCCAGCTGCCCTGTGAGCTGCAGGACATGGTTAGGAAACATCTGCGGAGTGGTCAAGAGGCTGCCAGCCCCAGCCCTTCTTCCAGCCTGGCCGCAGGGGCTGTGGTGCCTACGTCAGTCATTGCCCGGGTCTTGGAGAAACCGGAGTCTCTCCTGCTCAATTCAGCCCAGTCAGGCAGTGCTGGACGCCCCTTGGCTGAGGATGTCTTTGTGCATGTGGACATGAGTGGGGATGCGCCAGGTGACTCAGCCCCTGGCAGTCGCTCTCCACAACCCAATGGGGAATGCTGCTCTGTGAGCACTGCAGGAGGCTCCCCAGAGGAGGAGCTGCCCCTGCCAGCCTTTGAGAAGTTGAGTCCCTACCCTACCCCTTCTCCGCCACACCCATTGTATCCTGGGCGGAAGGTAATAGAGTTTTCTGAGGATAAGATTCGGATTCCACGCAACAGCCCCCTCCCCAACTGTACTTATGCCACGCGACAGGCCATCTCCCTGAGCCTGGTGGAGGAGGGGAGTGAGCGGGTCCACCGCAGCCCCGTGCCTAGCAGTCCTGCCTCAGTCCAAGGCTCACCCCATCACCAGCCTAGTCCAGCCCCCTCAGCACTCAGTGCCCCAGCCAGCTCAGCCAGCTCTGAAGAGGATCTGCTGGCCAGCTGGCAGCGTGCATTTGTGGACCGCACCCCGCCTCCTGCCGCTGTGGCCCAGCGCACAGCCTTCGGACGTGACGCACTCCCTGAACTACAGCTTCATTTCTCCCCGAGCCACGCTGAGGCCCCACAAACCTCTCCACGCAATGAGAGTGGACTTTTGCTACCAACACAGCCTGACTCTGCCTTTCCCAGGGAAGAGGAAGAGGAAGTGCTGAACCTGCCTGTCAGCCCCGAGGAAGAGCGCCAGAGCCTGTTGCCTGGTAATGAGGGCACAGGGGAAGGACCTAGTACTTCCCACATTGATGGCAGGGCCTGGCCACTCCCCAGTTCCAGCCGCCCCCAGCGCAGCCCCAAGAGAATGGGAGTTCACCACTTGCACCGCAAGGACAGCCTAACGCAGGCCCAGGAACAGGGCACCCTGCTCAGCTAAGCCCACTTGCCTTCCTGCCACCACCCCTCAGGGCTACAGACGGCTTCTGAACCCTTTCCTCAGACCTGGGTAGCTGTGTCCTATGTGAGTGAGGCCCACACCAAATCTTGCACCTGCGTCGGCACTGACTGGTACCAGCTCGCCTCCTGATTTTTTCCTTTCCTCTTGGGGTGCTTGTTCTCCAAGGGTAGTGAGAGTCCTGAGCTCTTCCCGCCATTCAGTCTGCCCAGGTGTTTCCATGGGGAAGCACCCAGCTTGCCAGTGTTCATTTTCCATTCCTCTTTCGTATCCAAGAGCTTTGGTTGTTAGGGGAGTGTCTCACTGAAGCTACTGACCTCTGATTACTCTTTCCGCTGCATGAGCTGCTCTTAGGCGTGGCCCAGCTGGCCCTAGGGACAAGGGTGGACTCACTCAGGGCTCCCCTCTGCTGTTCCCACGATCCCTTCCAGAGAGAGGGTGGGACTTTAGGGGCCACAAGCTAGGCTCCAGGTGAGGCCTGGCTCCTCTTAACCTTGGCTCTAGACTGTTACTCTGAGATTTGGAAAATTTTTCACATTAATGACTTTTAAAATCAAATAAAACTTATTTTACAGGTATAGTTTAATTTGCCTTAATGACTTTCTCCTTCCTACTGTAATCCCCATTCTTATTTTTATTTTTGAATGGCATCTCATGCAGACCAGGCTGGCCTGGAATTCACAGAACCCTCTGCCCTCTGCCTCCAGTGCTAAAATTAAAGGTGTGACCTACCATGCCTAGCTAACATTTTTTGAGTGTTTGTGTGTGCGCACGCATGTGTGCAGACGTGCATGCAGGTGGCCACAGAGGCCAGAGGCTTGGTACTCTGGAACTGGGGTCAAGTGTTAACTGCTGAACACCTGTCCAACACTTAAGTATTTCTCATCCAACTTCTCCTAGTCTTTTCCAGAGACTCCCTTTAGCCTGTTCTACCTGGCTTCCCTTGGCCCAGGCATGAGGAGGAGGTGTCAGATAACAGCGGGGCTAATATTAAGCTTCCCTGTAGAAGGAGGATACAGTTCAGCTCAGCTTCTTGCTCCAGTTATCTTCAGGCGTCTGAACTCCCAGGACCCCTAGGTCCTAGACCTAGGCTGACCTCTTAGAGTCGGAGCTGTAGAGTGATATCCCCCTAACACTGATTAGTGGTACTGCCAGTCCCTCCCACTGGTCATCCCCCAGTGACTACAGCTACAAGCCAGGTTGTGCAGTTTATAAAATCTGTTCCGAGCCAGCGGGTTGCAGCCAGAGCTGCCAAGTTCAAAGTTCAGTACCCTGGGTCCAAGTCCCATCCCCACCCCATCCCCCAAGGCTGTTGCCCAGTGACAGCTTCAGAGCCTCCCACCACTGCCAGGAGCTGCCAGAGCCCCAGCCAGGACCTTGCCCTGCCATGTGGAAGAAGGTAGTGGGGACACATACAAATGCAATGATGCGCAGAAGCCCACGTGGAGAGTCACATCTCGGTCTCTGCTAACAGACTGTCCCCTAGTCCTGATGTCATTAGCACCATCTGAGAGCTGGGATCTGTGAAAGGACAAAGGATGTTCCTTAGTGAGTGTCACAAACAGATGAAAGCCATGGCCTGGTTTCCCAGCACCACCTCCTTGTTCCAAATCTTCCAGACCTAGCTCTCATTCATTCTCCAGGTTCTTACCGCTGGGGCACATCCAGGAGCTGCCACCCCTCTGGTGGGGAGTAGGCTCCCGGCCTCTCCCCCACTCCTGGGTGTCGACAGCCCCTCCTGCTCCGTCTTCCTCTTCTTCCCCCTCAGAGAGAAGGTCACAGATCTGCTGCTGCAGCTCTGGGCTAATGCTGTTCTCAGCCAACACCAGGCTCCGCAAAGCAGTTGGGTAATTTTCTACCATGTCCAGTAGGGTCTGGGGAAGGGAGAAAAGAGCACAGGAAAGAATGAACAGGAGAGGTGTGGCTCTGTGGTTAAGAGCGATGGCTGCTCTTCCCAGCGCCCACACGGCTGTTCATCGCCATCGAACTCCAGATGCAAGCGATGTGACATCACCTTCTGACCTTCATGGGCACCACAGACATATAGGTAAAACATTCATTCACAGAAAATAAATATTAAATTATAAAATTAAAACAATGGGGCTGGAGAGATGGCTCAGTGGTTAAGAGAGAGCACTGCCTGTTCTTCCAAAGGTCCTGAGTTCAATTCCCAGCAACCACATGGTGGCTCACATGTGTAATGGGGTCTGGTGCCCTCTTCTGGCCTGCAGACATGCACACAGACAGAATATTGTATACATAATAAATAAATAAATATTTAAAAAAATAATAAAATTAAATTAAAACAATGAAGCTGGGTGGTGATGGTGCACACTTGGGAGGCAGAGGCAGGTGGATCTCAGTGAGTTCAAGGCCAGCCTGGTCTACAAAGCAAGTTCCAGGACAGCCAGGACGGTACACAGAGAAACCCTGTCTTGAAAAAAAAAAAAAAAACAAAACAATGAACACAATTTAGGCAGCCCTTGGGTCTGTCCCCGGCACGGATTATCTCAGTCTTTCACCTAGTTGTCTCCAAAGCATCGCCCTCTCACCTGAGCTGACTGGTTGGTGAGCCCTGTGCCCTCCAAGTCTAGGACTTCGAGGGTACGGCTTGAGGCCACAGCTACAGCCAGCATCCCTGCCACATGGTCACCTAGGGAGACAGCACAAATCTCAGCTACCTGAGATAACAGAGGTCTGTTAATCCTTAGTCCTGGTCAGGACCACCATGCCTGGCCGGGAGACGCAGGTGAGTGGCCAGGAAGGGAGTGAGATGCATCAGATCCACGGGTTCTGATGGAGGCTTTAACCTACCTGTTGGTCATCTGGCTCCTTTACAAGACCCCTGGGGGTTCTCATTCATCTTCCCTTCATTGAGTGGGGATTACTATGTGTGGCAACTGGTGGTCTCTGGATGGGGAAGGAGCAGTGAACATGGAAGGGAATGATCTTAAGCTCACCCAGGGGGTTGTAGTCCAGGTTGAGGACGCGGACTTGGGAGCTGTGGGCCACAGCAATGGCGAGGCGGCTCCAGCCCTTAGGGGTGATGCCAGGGTTGGCACTCAGTGTTAGCTCCTTCAAACCTAGGCAGCAGCATCAGTGAGAATCCAGGATGGGTGGAGTCAGGCCCTTCTCCAGTCCCTTCTCTACCATGCGTCTATGGGATTAGCCTAATGGCTGGGAGACACCTTGCCCCTGACCATAGCAGTCTGGAGCAATTAGGGACCTACTCACGCCTCCCCTGCTTGGATCACCATTGTTTCCACTTGGCTCAGTCCCTGAACTTCTCCCTTCCTAAGAAGGGTAAGAAGGCATTCTTACTGCACCCTCCCAGCTCTCAGCACTGGGCCACACCCCCTTCTCCACATTCAGCCCGTGCACTCAGAAGGGCCCTGCTCACCAGACTTGGCCCCGTCTGGAGGGAGGAGGCCACAGATGAGGTTGATGGCTTCATCACCCAGCATGCAGTCTCCCAGGTCAAGAGCCACCAGGGCAGGGTGGAGAGCCAGGGCAGGGTTCAGCAAGGCCAGTCCCGCATCCGTCAGCGGGCTCCCGTGCAGGCTGAAGGTTGAGATGAGATTACATTGGAATCACGAGCTTTATCTGAGAAAGCTGCCCTTACCCCGAGACAAGAATGGGAGGAAGAAGGGAAATTCTAGATTTGAAGGAAAGGGAGTGTGGTTTCTTTCTGTTGTAGGAACTGGTAATGAGAACATTGCACAGGGAACGGTGTGGGTAGTGGACTGGGGAGCTGGCATATATGCTCACGGTGTCTCTGAGATCTTTCAGTGGGAAGGGCTGGGGTGTAGTCTCCATGGGAGGTGACCCTTCCTCAGAAATGAGGGGTTCACAATGAAGTAACTGGGGATGGGATGGGGAGGAACGACATTCCCTACCAGGAAGAGCTAGGCATTCCAGCTCTCCTGCGGGGCCGAATGTGGAGCAAAGTCTAGAAACGATCCATGTTTCTGGGAGGGTGTGGTGGACCCAGAAGAAAGATGTGTGCATTAGAGGTTGCGAAGGCGGGACGGTGGAAAAACAGGTACTGGAAGGTAATGTGGAGATGCAGGAGGTGGTAGGGGGTGCAGTAGCCGGGACCCCTTGCGAGGGGACACACTCACAAGAGGGACTGGATGGAGCGGTTGGTCCGTAGCGCTTCCGCCAGCTGCTTGATGCGGCTGGGGCTGGACACGACGCCCAGGTTAAGGTTGAGCTGCGCCAGGGATGTGGCTCCAGCTAGGGCCCGGCAGATGCGTCCGAAGTCGCGGTCACACAGGCGACAACCGCGCAGCGAGAGCAGGCGCACCGCGTTGTCGCGCAGGCCGCGGCAGATGTCCCGCACCTCAGCGCCTGACAGCGGCTCCCCGGAAATCTGGATGGAGCTGGGCAGCATGGTCCCCACGACTGGGCCTCGGGGGCTGGCACCGGTGTCCCGGCCTGGGCAGAAGTTGGCCCGACTGCGGTCTGGGGCGGGGCAGGGACTGAGGTCTCGATCTCGGTTGGGGTCGCAGCCGGAGCGGAGGCGTCCGTGGCTGTGGCGGGGACGAAGCGAGCCCGGGCCGCGGCGGGAGCGAAAGCAGGCGCGGGCCCGGGATGCGGAGACGCGGAGGAGCGGCGCGGGGGCGGGGGCGGCCCGGGGACAGAGCCGCAGCCGCCCGCGCTGGTCCTTTCCCTCGCGGCTTTGGAGGCCGCGCCCGCTCTGCGGGCCCCGGGCCCGGCAGCACGGCTTTGGGGGACAGCCGGGGCGGGATGCAGCTCAGCTTAGACTGCTGCACCGGAGCAGGCGGCGAGTTCCTATAGCAACGGTTGCGTCACTGGCTCTTGTCCCGCCCCTCCCGGTATGAACCACGCGGCCGGCGCACTATGCTTGTTTTAGGGCGAAGAACTAGGATCCGAGGGCCTGACAGCGTGAAGAGTAGAGGGATTCAGCATGGAGGCAAGTCACGTTGAGACAGCCTTTGGTGCCATTTCGACATCTTTTACTTATTCTCCAGTGCTTTTCCATTCTTAAAGTCTAAATCCAGAGATTCTGCACCGTCTCCAACACCCTAAACAATCAGTCCCTAGGCCCTTTAATCCGTGCCCCGCCCCGCCCCCATAACCCAGTGACGCGAGGCGTAGCATGCGTGGGGATTCCGGTCCACGGGGACTTCCCGGTCAATGTGGCTGCGCAGGACAGAATCCCTAGGGTAGGGCAGGTGAACCAGCCTTGAAGGCGTTTAAATATCCAGGAGAATGGGACTGCCAAAATCAAAGGGTGTCACATCAACCCAAAGCTGTGGGGATCCCTGTGGGGTGGGGATGTGTAAAGTGACTGGAGCAAAGCGAAATCGAATTTTATCCCTGATTGCAGTGGGGGCTTCATTTGTGCAGCAGGGCAGTGTAATAGGAAGAAGTGTCATTTTTTTTCTTTTTAAAAAAGTGAGCTAGCCGAGAGGTGGTGGCGCACACCTTTAATCCCAGCACTCGGGAGGCAGAGGCAGGCGGATCTCTGTGAGTTCAAGACCAGCCTGGTCTACAAGGGCTAGTTCCAGGACAGGCTCCAAAACCACAGAGAAACCCTGTCCCGAAAAACCAAAAAAAAAAAAAAAAAAAAAAAAAAAGTGAGCTAAAAATTGGACTGTGGTGGCACATACCTATAATCCCAGCACTTGGGAGACAGAGGCAGGCAGATCTTAGTGAGTTCAAAACCAGCCTGGTCTACAGAGTGAGTTCCAGGATAGACAGAGCTAATCTACATAAAGAGACTTTGTCTGGAACTCTCCCTAGCTCTCCCCGCCCCCCTCCAAAAAAACCCAAACAAACCCAAAACCAAAATAAAAAAAAAAAAAAAAAAAGAAAGAAAAAAAACCCAGTAAAGCCAAAAGTCCTCCTCCCTCTGTTAACCATTTGAATTTATGGAAATATTTTTAATTTTTTTTTTTTTTTTTTGTGCACACTACAGGTGTATAGATGCTTGCAGAAGCCAGAAGGGAGCTAGAGTTACAGGAAAATCTGAGCCAGCCACCTTGGAAGCTGGAACTGAACTACTGAATTCAGGTCCTCTGCAAGAGCAGTGCACTCGTTCCCAAGCCATCTCTCCAAGCCCCAGGTTTTATTTGTAATTGTGTACGCACGTGTCTGTGCAGTAAATGCAGGTGACCTTGGAGATGGCTGGAGCTCCTGGGGCTGGAGGGGAGTTACAAGCAGTTGTGAGCCACCCACCATGGGTGCTGGGAATGGAACTCAAGTCCTCCCAAAAAGCAGCATCTGCTTTTAACCAGCACTCTGAATTTATTTTTGTTGAAACAGGATCTGGCCCTAACTGGCCTGGAACTCACTTTGTAGACAAGGCTGGCCTTGACGTCACAGAGAACCACCAGCCTCTGCCTCCTGAGTGCTGGGATTAAAAGGAATACACCATCACACTCAGCCTGAATTTACTTCTTCAATGGAGGCTAAAGGGTGGTGGTGCTCAAAAATAACACTTGCAGGGAAGACAGAAATCTAAGCCTCAGTAGAACCATCTTTGGCTTCAAATATCAGCTGCATGTGGACATTATCTGACAGTGCCCAGGGGCAGAGGTCCTTGCAATGATGTCAGTGGAAACTTGTTCATTGGTCATTGCTGCATCGGGCTTCTCCAAAGTACAGCCAGCCTGGACTTAAGCCTGGTGTACATATATGTGAGGATTGTGGCTCTCATGCTTGGTCCTGCCTGCTGTTCTGTGGGTCAAGTATCTCTAGCCCTCAGGGCCTGTCCTTCCTTCACCCTGCCCGAGTGAGGGTACAGAAGGCATAGGACACTGCTGACAGAACGTAGGGGGACAGGAGAATGGCTGGAACGGGAGCTGTAGTTCCAGACTTCAATCAATATTTTAATTACCAAGTCTATATTTAGCAAGACAGGAGGGAAAGGGAGAGAAAAGAGGGGTAGGTGGTGAGGGCCTCAGAAGAGCTGACCCATATTCTGCACTTGGCTGCAGAGGCTTGCAGTCCTGGCCAGGAGTTTCTGGCCTCGTGCCTTTGAGAAGCCAAGCCCCATGCCAAGGAGGTGTTTAGGAGCAACAGCTCAGTGTCTGCTGCAGACCTCATCAAAGAGATACACGTCCTCAGTACTGTCCTTCAATCTTCCTCTCTCCAGAGCTGGGGGTCAGGGCTGGCCAAGGCTTTCAGGTAGGGTCAGTGTGACTGCACGGCCACTGCTATTGCCTTGGCGGTGGCATTAACCACAGTAACAGGAAGCCTGACAGCAGGGAGCACCGCAGGGATGTCTCTTGGGACCCTCTGCATGGGTGGGATATTGGGGCCCTCCAGGGTGTCCAGGATCCCTAAAGGAGGAAGGATGCAGGATGAATGAGAACTGGCTAGGCAGGCCCCCGGGTCTGCTCATCCAGCTCGCTCCCCACTACAGACCCTCCTGCCACTTACCCTCTACCACCTTGTGGTAGGCAAAATGCAGATAGAGCAGAAAGAGCATGTGCAGCGCTGCCAGTGTGCCACAGAGGAGCAGCCGCTGGGTGGGGCCTACAGTCCGTGACACCAACACTGCCACCTAGGGCCACAGGTACACAGTTCAGAAGGCCTGTTTTAAAGGATGGATGGAGAAGACAGCCAGGGCAGAACCTGTAGAGTCCTTTGTGGGTGGACAGCAAAACCCGCTCAGCTTACCATGCGCAGGGTGGAGAGCCCACCCACCAGCAGCCAGAAGAGGTAGAAGAGGGAATGAAGGTGAATGTTATAGGTGATGAACAGGACAATACAGTGCCCGAACAGGCCATAGCCCTGCGGGAGAGAGATGAGAGCACCATCATTTGGGCTGGAATGGCCTTTGGCTCCATGGAGGGCTCTCTGGCCTGCTCCTCCCATCCCAGGTCCACAGATGCCTGGAGAGCAGCGGACCAGGACCTTACTGACCTCAGGCTCTCCTTGCCCACTCCCAGGACCGGCTCCTTACCAGCAGTGCGAGCATCTGGAGCATCGTGATCTGGGCATTGCACAGGTAGGCAAGGAAATAAATGAAGGACGAGACACCCAGCCAGTATCCGAAGCAGGTGCCAATGGCTGTGCCCATCAGGGTGCCCTCCCGCTGTGGGGTAAAGGGTGATGAAGGCTTTGCTCAGGGCTGAGACACTGTGATCTCGCCCAGGCCGTCACTCAGGTGTCACACCATCATATCCTCAGCAGTCTTCAACTACGTCAGCCCCACCCCCAAGGTCTGTGTCGGGCTTACGATAATGGTGTCAGAAGTCTTCATCCCATGGAGGAGGATGGCGACCAATGTGAAGACCAGCATGAGGGGTCCATAGAGCTCACCGGCGACTTTCTGTCAGCACACAACACATTCAGACTGGAGGCTGGGACTGCTGGACCACACTCTACCCTGAAGCCTCCCCGGCTCTGCACACATGCCATTCCCTAGTCACCTGGGGGAAGTTGACCATCTTGATAGGGATCATGGACTCCAGGAGCCTAGGAGAGGGGAGAGGAGAGCAGATGCAGCAATATGCTGAGGTTCTGGAGGGCAGGGTCTGCATCTTACTCATGTCTCTATCACCAGGGGACAGGGAGGGGCCAGAGGACATACTGAACGAGGGGGAGGGGAAAAAGATAGGGAATAAAAGGAATCACTTTGCACGAGGAGGTCAACTCTGAGGTGAGTGGAGTAGCAGCCTCCTGGAAAACTTGGAGAGAGCCGAGGATTTCCTACATGGAAGATAGGTGAACGCAAGTGGAGGGTACCCAAAATGTGGAAGCCCTGAGAGCAGTGCAACCACTTATCTTCTTCCAGGCAGTGGGCGTTTCTCTTGAAAAATGTACTTGAAGTGGTATGGACATGCACACAGGATAAAAAAAGAAGTCATTTCTCTCTTTGTCTACGACTACTATACCTTCGCTTATTCTTGTGTTTTAGCAAGGTTTCTTGGATTATTCTTTTTAGTTAAGACATTACTTCTTTTGGGAAGCTTCCCTTTTGGGCTCAAGTGTCCCTCCTGTGTGTCCACAGTCGTACTAGAGCACTGTGTTGTGACTGCACTCAATGGCAAGGCTCCCACCTATCCTCACCAATGAATCTGGTATCACAGAATAAAACCTCAGTGTACAGGGCCCTGGGTTCTGTATCAGCACTGGTTCAAGGTTCAGAAAGAACCAAGCCACGACTGAATCCAGTTCTTGAGAAGTCAGCGAATGACTATGCTCAAGGCAGGAGAGCTTGCTTCTGAGGTGTAGCTGATCTCTGGGGAGACCAGCCCAGGAATAAGAATGTATTGCCGTCTGAAGAGCTACCTGGTGGAAGAAAGTAGAGTTGTCTAGGAGTCTCAGGGGAACGAGACTAGAGCGAGCGCTGTTAGAGAGAGGTGTGGAGGGATGGTGGCTAATATGCTGGACAGAGGACACAGCCGATGGACTTTCGCCACGTTGTAGTCCACAGCAGGTTTGGTGACTAGGGTGACTGGGTTACAGTAGGGAAGCCCGCCAGAGCTTGGGCTCAGTATCTGACTGTAGTGTGGGTGATGGGGTTACAATGGGGGAGCCCGCCACAGTTTAGGGTCAGTATCTGGCTGTAGTGTGGGTGATGCGGTTACAGTAGGGAAGCCCACCAGAGCTTGGGCTCAGTATCTGACTGTATTGTGGGTGATGGGGTTACAATGGGGGAGCCCGCCACAGTTTAGGGTATCTGACTGTAGTGTGGGTGATGCGGTTACAGTAGGGGAGCCCACCAGAGCTTGGGCTCAGTATCTGACTCTAATCTGGGTGATGGGGTTACAGTAGGAGAGCTGGCTAGAGTTTAGGGTCAGTTTCTGACTGTAGTCTTGGTGATGGGGTTACTGAGCCGGAATTTGGGCTCAGTATGACTGTAGTGTGGGTGATGGGGTTACAGTAGGGGAACCCGCCAGAGCTTAGGGTCAGTATCTGGCTGTAGTCTGGGTGAAGACTGGACGCGAGGGCAGACTGGTCTGAGAAGGCTCCTCACCTGCTTCGGACCTGGGCAGGCTCCACATCAAAGTATGGTCTCAGGATGTCGATGTTGGCATACAGACTGAAGGCTCTGGAAGCTTGTCTCTTCCCTGCCTGCCACATCTGAAGGGAGATGGTATTATTACACTCTCGGCTCCGGGCTGTCAATCCCGTCTCTGCTGGATTTCTGTGTAATTCTAACTGAAAAACCTACATCAACTTGGGACGCACACGGGTCTACTTTCCCATCTGCTTACCTGGTCAGCCACTTGCCGGCTCAGCTGACCCTTAAAGCCTTTCATGCCAAGGAACTCTCCATCCTCCTCTTCTGCAGCAGCTGCATCAGCGTCCACTTCTTCCTCACGCAGGCGCTGATGTAACTCACCCATATCCTCGAAGCTGGAGCCTGAGGTATCATCCATGTTCTCCATATCAATCACAGCCGAGCCCCCACCCTGTGAAGACAATGGCTCTTAGAGTGAGGGGCCCATCTGTTCTCTGCTCATCTCATGGGCTGAGGCTGTGCTTTTCCACTGATGAGGATACAGAATTGCTACACATTGGCCACACTCCTTCCTTTCACTGCTGGCACACTTGGTCGCCACACTTTCGTGGTCCAGAAAATCTACTATTCGTCTCGGATTCACGTTGTTTTCCTACCTTCTCTCTCGAAGCTCCAGAGAGCGGCACAAGGGACCATCTGCCTTCCCGACCCTCAAACAAGCCTATGCACACAGTCCATCTTTAAGGCGTGCCAATGAATCCTATCCTCTTAGCCCTACACTGTGCCTGACCCGGACAGACTTCCCACCCTGTCCCGCACAGCTCCGGGCAGGCAGAGACCCGAGGCCCGCTGGAGCCTCAGCCTGGCCCTTTCACGTCAGCACAAGCTCTACAGACTTTCGCGTGGCCGACTCAGAGAGGTCAGAAGGTGGCCGACTTCCACGCCGTGCGCGAGAACAGCAGCCACACTCGGGACGGCCGTCAGCCGGGGCGGGGGGGGGTGGGGCTGCTGGCAGCCGGAACTCTCAATACCTGGATGTTTTCTTCGAAGCCTCCCCATTCCGGGCCAGCTCCACTTCGGACGCCGCTGGCCGGCGTCGCCGTAGTCGCCATGTCCCTCGAGGCTTTCCGTCGCTGAAGCTCGTGCTCGAGGGAACAGTGTGAGACCTGAGCCCAGGTGAAAGAAACGTCCAGGGAGAGAGGGGCGAGGTACTACCGGCAGGAATGCAAAAAGGAGAAACCCGGATGTTTGGCCCCAATTGACGTCCGGAAGTGAAGGACGTGGACAGAGGCGGGGCATGCTATCGCGACATTTGAGAGCTTAAGAGGCGGAGCGTTGCCGCGGAGACAGCCACGGGCAGTTGTACGCGTGCGCAGGTTTGGAGGCTTCTCTGGCGGTGCTTGGTGGAAAATGGCGGCGGCTCAGGCTGTGGAGGAGATGCGGACTCGCGTGGTTCTGGGAGAGTTTGGGGTTCGCAATGTAAGCTCTGGTCTGAACTGAGGAGAAAGAGGCGGGACAGGGAGGAGGACGCCCTGTTTGGGACCCGGCTTCGCTGCTGTGTCGTGAACGGATCTCTGTTTGCTCTAGGTCCACACCACTGACTTCCCGGGTAACTATTCGGGTTATGATGATGCTTGGGACCAGGACCGCTTCGAGAAGGTGGGTGGAGCTGGAGGTGTCCCGACGGCTTGAGGGTTGGGAGTCGCAGCTTTCATAAAACGTAAATTGAGCCATGTGCTAGGAGCTCCATGGACGTCAGGACAGCTCCTGTTCCTGGAACAAGTTGTTCGCTCTCGGTGGGGTAATGGGCCATTGTAAAGAAATGATACTATCGGTGACGATGGCTGGGGCGGAGGAATCACATAGATACACCTAATCCAGCCCATTGGAGGGACGTAGTTAAAGGTCAGTGAAGGAAGAGACATCTGAATTAAGCTTTTTTTTTTTTTTTTTTTTTTGGTTTTTCGAGACAGGGTTTCTCTGTGAGTTTGGAGCCTGTCCTGGAACAGGCTCTTGTAGACCAGGCTGGTCTCGAACTCACAAAGATCCGCCTGCCTCTGCCTCCCGAGTGCTGGGATCAAAGGCGTGCGCCACCACCGCCCGGCTGAATTAAGCTTTTTAACTTTGAATAAAGGTTGAGCAATGGCCAGGCAGTGGTGGCGCACGCCTTTAATCCCAGCTCTCGGGAGGCAGAGGCAGGCGAAACTCTGTGAGTTGGAGGCCAGCCTGGTCTATAGAGTGAGTTCAGGACAGGCTCCAAAGATGCAGAGAAACCCTGTCTCGAAAAACCGAAAGAAAAAAAAAAAGGTGAGCAACGAAGGCTCAGTGTGCACGGTGTTGTAAGGTTTGCTCTGAGCCTGTTCCAGCAGTTCGTTACTGTCAGAGGTCAGCACGTCGGCATGAGTGGTAGACAAGATTGGGGTGTATCTTAAGCTCTGCAGGATAATAGAGAGCATTTTTTTGTTTGTTTGTTTGTTTGTTTTGAGGCAGGGTTTCTCGACGTATCCTTGTCTGGCCTGGAACTTGCCTCTGCTTTCCAGGTGCTGACATTAAAGGCGTGCAATACCGGCTTAATGAGAGTTTTTCAGTAGACCGATCAAATTTTGTGACCTTACTAGCTGGGAGGAAATGAATTCTGACAGATCTGCTAGATTTGTGTGTGGCAGCTGAGATCGAGGGCATGGATATGCCACTGATAGTGGAAGTGAGACCTAACAAGTCTGTATCATTGCTTTGGTGAGGGCTGTGTGAGTGAAAATGTACCTTGTGATTTGGAACGTAAGAAAATGTTTTGGGTTTGTTTGCCTGCATGTGTGTTTATTTATGATTCATGTGTGTGGCTGGTGACCCAGGAGGTTGGAGGAGGGAGTTAGGTTCCTGGAACTGCAGTTATGGATGGTAGTGAGCCACCATGTCGGTGCTGGAAACAAAACCCAGCTCTTTAAGAGCAGTGCTCTTTAAGTGCTCTTAACTGCTGAGCCATCTCTCCAGCCCCACTGGAGAACTATATCTCAAGAGCAATGTGTATAGATCAAGAGGATGATGTTTGAAGTGATGTTAAAAGTGAGACCAAGTTTCGGGAGTTGCCGAGCAGTTGCTTAAGCCAGAAATGTGGTTGAAGTCACCCAGGAGGTTAAAATCTAGGGGAAAGTAATATTTACAGGGTGAGTGGAAGAGAGACTTTAGGAAGACTGTCAGATAAGAGAACCAAACTGGTGTTCAGAAACCAATGGACTAAGGTTAAAAAAAAAAGAGGGATTAAAAAATAAACAGAAATGCAGCAATAACTGGTCTAAGTAGTGTGGGAAGTTCTGCTCTTTAGTGCAGCGCTTCTGTGGGTTGTGTGGAGCCATATTGCTTGGTGTCTTAAACTGAAGACAAAACTGAGAAGCCAGACATGGTAGTGCACACCTTTAATCCGAGCACACAGAAGAGCCAGCATGATGGTGTACACCTTTAGCCCTAGCATACAGAAGAGCCAGAGGTGGTGGTGCACACCTTTAGTCTCAGCACATAGAAGACAATGGCAAGTATTTCTGTGAATTTGAGGACAGCCAGGGCTATGTAGGACAACCCTGTGTTAAAACACACACACACACACACAGAGAAAAAGACAAACCAGGCAGGCTTCTTAGGAAACTCAGGGCTGGAGACAAAGGGCTAGTCATCACCTGGGCAGAGGAACCTTCAGGTGGGAGAGGGTGCAAATCCATTGAGGGTGGGAATAATCAGAGGGAGAGAACAGGTGTCCCATCAGGTTTTTCTCCATCCCTTTAGAATTTCCGTGTGGACGTAGTACATATGGATGAAAATACATTGGAATTCGACATGGTGGGAATTGATGCTGCCATTGCTAATGCTTTCCGGAGAATTCTGTTAGCTGAGGTAGGAGAAGCATGGTGAGAGGGCTGGAGTGGGGAGTACTGTCATCACCTCATTTGTAGAAGTGTTCCCCAAAGCCATCCCTTCCAGGTGGGTGGGGTGTAGCACACCTATAAGATGAGCAGGTCTGAGGCCAACCTGGATTAGTGAAACCCTGTCTCAAAAATCTGAAGAACAAAATGAAGGACCATCTCTTAATTTCCTGTGGAGGCAGATAGTTGGACATCACTTGGGTTTTGCAGCTGCATGATTCTGCTTCCTTGAACAGGTGCCCACAATGGCTGTGGAAAAGGTTCTGGTGTATAATAACACATCCATTGTCCAGGATGAGATCCTTGCTCACCGCCTGGGGCTCATCCCCATTCTTGCTGATCCTCGTCTTTTTGAATATCGGAACCAAGGTGAGGATGACAAGATGAGATTCCCAGTTAAGTGGAGGAACTGTCCTTAAGTAGCTCTTGGGTTCAGATACCAGGTTTATTACTGTACCGTAGTCAAGGTAGTCCGCATTGAGAACACTTGCCCATACTATGTCAATATATACATATACATACATAAAACATACACACACAAGCTTTCAGCATAGTGCCAGCACTCAGAGATGTACTTTAATTGTTTAAAAAAACTTTGTGTGCGGGTGCACATGGGTGTGAAGGTCAGAGGACAACTTTGCAGTAGGTTTTAACTTGAGTTTCAGGGATTGAATTCAAGTCTCCCAAGTTGGCTTGACACCTTTACTGTGTGAGAAGTTACTAGTTAAAGCTAGGACCAGACATGGTGTTGTATATCTTTATGCCCAGCACTGAGCTCAAGGCCAGCCTGCTATGCATAATGATTTCCAGGACAACCAGGGCTAGTGAAACTCTGCTCCTTACTGTATATACAGGGGAGGAAGAAGGAACAGAGATAGACACACTGCAGTTTCGACTGCAGGTCAGGTGTACCAGGAATCCCAATGCTGCTAAGGATTCCTCTGACCCCAATGAACTCTACGTGAACCACAAAGGTGAGCAATGGTAAGGAAGAGGGGGGCTGGTGGGTGCTAATTTTAGGATCTGGGATTTTCTGACATATTTCCCTCCAGTATATACCAGGCATATGACATGGGTCCCCTTGGGAAACCAGGCTGATGTCTTCCCGGAGGGCACAATTCGCCCCGTGCATGACGACATCCTCATTGCTCAGCTTCGGCCTGGTCAGGAGATTGACCTGGTCATGCACTGCGTCAAGGGCATTGGTGAGAACCCTGTCAGTCTGCCACTGGGTGGGGCAAGTCTGTTTGCAGTAGCTCCTGGCATAGGAGAGTAACAGAGTTTCTCACAGGCAAAGATCATGCCAAGTTCTCACCAGTGGCAACAGCCAGCTATAGGCTCCTGCCAGACATTACTCTGCTTGAACCTGTGGAAGGGGAGGCGGCTGAGGAACTGAGCCGGTGCTTCTCACCAGGCGTGATTGAAGTGCAGGAGGTACAAGGTATGATGCGTGGTGTGCTGTTGGGATCAAGACCTATGTGTATTTTCTTCGAAAGTGGCAGAAAATAAAAGCTCTTAGACTTGACTAAGGTGTAACATTGCTTTCCTTAGGTAAAAAGTTGGCCAGAGTTGCCAATGCTCGGTTGGATACCTTCAGCAGAGAAATCTTCCGGAATGAGAAGCTGAAGAAGGCTGTGCGGCTTGCCCGTGTTCGGGACCATTATATCTGTAAGTGGGGGTGGTATTGGTGCTCTTTGGATAGGATTTAGAACTAGCTTGTAGTAAAAGCTAAATCCTGCCAGGGCTGAAGTGTCTCTTTGGTCCCAGTTTCAGTCGAGTCAACTGGAGTTTTGCCACCAGATGTGTTGGTGAGTGAAGCCATCAAAATACTGATGGGGAAGTGCCAGCGGTTCTTGGACGAGCTGGATGCGGTTCAGATGGACTGATGCTTCATAGCATTTCTGGGATGGCTGTGCCAAGTGTGACTAGATGTCCAATTCCAGTCTTATTTCCAGTCAATACATTTTATTAAATGTGCCACAGACTAAAACATGCCTTTGTAAGGCCTTTGATGTAAATAAATTGATATCCTAGCAAAAATGTTTTTTGGACTTTGTCTAAAAATATGGGGCCTTATCATAGTTAAGGTTGGCATTAACTAAGGACCAAGCAAAGGTTTCCAGGTCCTTGTCCTAAAGATGTTTGAGAAAGGCCGAATTACCATCGCTATGTAGATGGGGGAAGAGAAGCTGTAGCTAGTGCTTGGTCACCTGTCTCCTGGGCTGCCTTTAGCTCCAGCCGTATTGCCACTGACAGCTCCACAGAAGATAGCCATTTCCCTAAGAGGGCCAGCTGCCAGGTTTTGGTGGTCGGGGATAGAAATCTGCTTAATAGCTT